TTAAACCTCCTGACCAACCTCTTAACAGCCATAGTAAACAACCAGGACCCCAAAACCCTGATACAAACAGCAATACAATCATTCTTAACCATACTATCCCCCCAAAATGGATAACTTAAAAATTCTATTTTGGAACTCAAACGGCATTAACCACAAACTTGACGAACTGCGCTCTTTAGCACTAAAACTGAAAACCGACATAATCCTACTTAACGAAACCCACCTAAAACCCTCTGCCAGACTTCACATTCCTAACTTTTTTACGTACAGGAACGACCTGCCGCCCGTGCGGGGCTCGCCCGCCCACGGAGGCACGGCCGTTCTCGTCAACCGACGTATCGTCCACCAACCAGTTACCCTAAACACAACCATCCAAACCTCTTCCATCCTCGTACAACTAAACGGCCACGAAGTACTTATTTCAGCCGTATACAAACCACCCGGAACCCTACTAACGACAAACGACCTCGACCTTTTGACAAAGAGTGCCGAATGGCAAATTTCGGCAGGCGACTTCAACGCCAAACATCCGCTGTGGTATAGCCACACGACTAACGCTGCCGGCCGTGTCCTCTTTCACCACGCACAACAATCGGACTACTCTGTAACTGCTCCCTCTTCTCCCACACATTTCCCGACATGCACACGATACAGACCTGACATACTCGACATCGCCCTCGTACGACTACCCTATCAAACCCAAATCATTAACCTCAACGAACTATCTTCCGACCACAACCCCATTCTTCTAGATACACTCTGCACTCCGATCTCTTCTTCTCCACCGGTTACGAATCGGTTTATTAACTGGAAAAAATACACGACAACTCTCGCGAACTTACCGAACTCAAACACTCAACCGACCAACGACCGTGAGTCTATCGACCTGGCAATCGAAAACCTCACAAAACATATCCAACAAGCGGTTGAATCCAGCGTATACGTACCGACACGCAAACACCCGTCCACTGTAGTACCAGACTACATTAAACTGGAAATACAAGACAAAAACCGTATACGCCGCGAATGGCAAATAAACCGCGACCCGACAATTAAACGACAACTAAACGCCAAAATATCTCTCATACGTACCTTACTCGCAACGCACAATACTGACCAATGGGACATCTTTCTTAACTCACTAGACCACCAAGACGGTTCAATATACAAACTCAACAAATGTCTCTTACACAAACGTCCAGCATCTCACCCACTAACCGGCCCCGACGGCCTAGTTTTTCCGGCCAACGAACGAGCAGAGCTGATAGCCGACTCGCTCGAACGTCAATTTCAAACAAACCCCGGCCCCGACTTACCAGACGTAACCGCTCACTCCCAGTACCTACAAGGCCTTGACATCACCCGATCTAACCTCTTTACCACTCCCGGCCAGATACAAGACATAATTCGCAACCTTCGCAAAAAGAAAGCCCCAGGTGACGACCTCATCACCAACACGGCTCTTAAATTCCTACCGAACAACGTTATACTGTCCCTTACTCGGATCATCAACAGCGCCTTCAGAATCTGCTACTTTCCCCTTGCCTGGAAAAAAGCAGTCATCATCTCCATTCCCAAACCAGGCAAAGACCATAAACAACCCGAAAACTATAGACCAATCGCCCTCCTCTCCTCCCTGTCCAAAATTTACGAACGACTCATCCTCACCCACCTACAAGACAAACTCAAAAACAAAATCCGTCCCGAACAGTTCGCCTTCAGACCCGAACACTCGACCACACTACAACTGACCAAACTCACCCACCAACTGAGCGAAAACTTTAACAACGACTTAAACACTGCTTCCGTCTTCCTCGACGTGGAGAAAGCATTCGACCGCGTCTGGCACGAAGGCCTACTCTACAAACTCTCCAAACTCAACATCTCGTTAGAAATCGTAAAAATCATCCAATCCTTTCTCACCGACCGTACTTTTACCACTAAAATTGAACACTCCTTCTCTACTACCAGACACGTACTCGCAGGAGTCCCTCAGGGCTCCTGTCTCTCACCGACGCTATACTTGACGTACATTAACGACATTCCAACGACTCCTAAAGCCAACCTCTCACTCTTCGCTGACGACACGATGTTCTTTACTAGTAATAAAAACCCCAAACGTGCAACCATACAACTACAACACCAACTCAACCTCGCGTCCAACTGGTTCCACAGGTGGCGAATCAAAATAAACCCGACCAAAACAGTAGGCGTCCTCTTCGGGCGTTCTAATACAACCCACATTCCACCTCTAACCATCGATAACCAACCCGTTAACTGGTCAAAACAGGCCAAATACTTAGGCGTCACGATTGGACGTAAACTTACATTCAACCAACACATTCAAGACGTAACCAAAAAAGCTACCCGCGTCCGTGGTATGCTTTACCCCTTACTTAACCGTACTAGTCCCGTTCCGCTGAAAACAAAACTTAACATACTTAAACTCTACGTGACCCCTATACTTACATATGCTGGCTCTTCCTGGGCACCCTTTATCGGCCCCTCCCATTGGAGACGTATTGAATCCGTCCAAAACATCGGCATACGCACGATAACCGGTATGCCCACTATCGTTAGAAACTCGGTCCTTTTAAAATCAGCCAACTTCAAATCTATCCAAAATTCCATTTGCTCTCAATCAAAAACAATGTTCTACAGTAACTCTTTTTCCGAATACGATCATATCCGCCTCTTAGGTAAAACCCACTCCCCTCCAACCACCAAACGTTTACTCAAACCATACCCATTAAATTGGACTGACTTACATAACTGAACCTACCAATCAACCCCAAAATCCATCCACTAGTAGAGGCACAAGCCTGGAATAGTAAACGGCATAGCCACCCCTCCCAAAGCAAAGCAAAGCAAAGCAACCAGAAGAAGTACCTACTAGACATGTTTGCTAAAAAACATAAACGAAGACTTCAATTCGACCTAAGGCTATAAAGTATGAAAATCTATAAAGATATTTTTTCTTATTAATGACTACGTGTTACATGTATAATAACTTAACTATTTTGATGTGTGATATTAATGATATTATGTAATCAACATATTAAATATATTACTAATTTTGTTTAAAAATAAGAGTAAGTATTATTTATTATGATTCAAATTATATAATTTATATGTGCCCCCCTCCCCTATCAAAATATCCAAGATCCACCCCTGAAAAATTCTTTAGCAAAGTATTTTAAATAGGTACTTTTTGGTCTTCTGGAAGTACCTAACTATATATTTTTAAAATCAAATAATTTCATAGTTCTTTTTAGTTTATATATTTTCTATTTTAATTTTGATCACGTAAAATAAGAATAAAAATATTGAGAGTACATAATATAATAATTTATTATTTATTTTTATTTATTTATTATTAATATTAACTCCCGGTGGTCAAAAAGTACAGGACATAATAGTATAAATATTCAATTGCTTACAAATGTATTACAATATGTGGTTTAAACAAAATAAATCATTAAAGAAAAATTAGAAATTATTTAAACAGTTATAAGTTATTAGTTATTACAATTTACAATCATTTACAATTCGATTAATAGGACTGTTTAGGACAAATATGTGTGTGTACAGGTTTCTGTGGCCTGTGGAGAATCTATTTTTGTGCTAGTGTTGATCATTAGGTGTTGGGACATGAAAATTGATCTTGTTTAGAAATTCGGGACACACTACTTTACTGTTTAGTAATTTGTAGAGAAATAAAACATCATTATAATCAAGTCGAGATGAGAGTGGTGTACTGGTGTAAGACCACAACATTTTTCAACGAAAGAAATTCGCTACCACCCATGTGTAGTTTGAAGGCAATAGAACGTAAGAACTAAGAATCGTCGTTTGGACGTGATTTGCCTGCATTTTTCAGCATAATATATTTTTTTAGTGTGAATTATATTAAACTATATTAAACTCATATTATAATACCAAACATATTTAATCCATTGCTAAAAATTAATATCTATAGCACTTCAAGAATTTTTTATTCTTGAAGTTGACTTTTAATCCTCCTACCCAGGCGAATAGAACGTTATATAATTCATAAACCGTGCAAAGTATATGCAAATTGAAAGAATTTTTTGTCGATCAGTTACGAAATTTTAAATATTATAATATATTGGTGGCCCTGATAAGGGCCGTTTTATTGGTGACTGGTGTTACTGTGTTAGGTTGTCGGATGAAAATACATTTAAGCTTTCTTCTCAGTTTTCTTGGGCAAAAGAACGGCTTGGATGTTGGGCAACACACCACCTTGAGCGATGGTTACTCCGGACAACAACTTGTTCAGCTCCTCGTCGTTTCTGATAGCCAATTGCAAATGTCTGGGGATGATACGAGACTTCTTGTTGTCACGGGCAGCGTTACCGGCCAACTCCAAAACTTCAGCTGCCAAGTACTCCATGACGGCGGCCAGGTATACCGGTGCTCCGGCTCCGACACGTTCGGCGTAGTTTCCCTTTCTCAGCAGACGATGGATACGTCCGACCGGGAACTGGAGTCCGGCCCGGGACGATCTGGTCTTGGACTTGCCTCCTTTCGCTTTTCCTGCTTTGCCTCTTCCGCTCATGACTGATTTGTTGACGACTGCTTAGTGCTACGTGCAGAATTCGACTGACGAATGATGATAAAATTTTTTTTGAAATTCGCCTTAAATAAGCAAAAATAGGGAAACATTTCTGTTATTGGATAAAACGAAACAGTTAGACGAAGCAACTTGATACCGTCTGCCCATCGATCGCTACTCGACGATGCGGTTTTCACTCGGCACTTTTATATTTTTTTTTTGTAGAGAAACTATTATTTTCAACCATCACGTAACCACCGTCGAAGCCTGTTTAGTCCGTCACACTTATGACTTTCGACCAATGAACGATCGACGTATAGCTTTGGTTTGGTAATATATACTCATTTTTTCCCTGTTCCCGGCATCATTCAGACCAAACGTTTAGTTGACAACGGCAATATTATCAACTACACTTAATATCAACATGGCTCCAGGAGGTAAATCCGCAGGCGGCAAAGCGATGAAAAAGTCCGGTAAAGCCCAAAAGAACATCGCCAAGTCCGACAAGAAACGCAAGCCCAAGAGGAAAGAATCGTACGCAATCTACATCTACAAAGTGTTGAAGCAAGTACACCCCGACACCGGTGTTTCGTCAAAGGCGATGAGCATCATGAACAGTTTCGTCAACGATCTCTTCGAACGTATCGCTTCCGAATCCAGTCGCTTGGCTCACTACAACAAGCACGTGCCCCTCCCCTGAATCCGCCACTGGTACTTTTTCAAATGTATTTAATTAAAATACATATTTGAATCTAGGTACTTTTGCTCAAGTACTTAGATACTTTACAATACTGAGTACGTACCTACTATACATTCATTTTGGTATAACACATTTAAACTTTTTCCGAGTAGGTATATAATAGGTTAACAAAATTTATCTAAGCACGACTATAATAGTAATACTATGAAGTCTAATTAATAAATATCTACCTAATACTAATGTCTAATACCTATATATGTATTTTTAAATTTGACATAATATTTTTAGACTGAGTGAACTAGTGAAGTGAAGAATTTATTGGTCTTACAAATTACAATGATGTGTATTTTCTTATGTCTATACTCTATAACAACATTTTCGGGTAGTACAAGCTAGGGTACAGCTAGTCCGAAAGTTTTATCAGACTCCTATATGTCATAAATAGCTTCTTCTTAGTATTATAAAGAGGACCTTTATCGAAATTATCAACCGCATTTTTCTTTTAGAATTCAAGTTTTTACTTATGATACTATGAAACATCGAAATCGTCAACAGTTTTTCATAGTAGGTATCATAAGTAAAAACTTGAATTCTAAAAGAAAAATACGGTGCGAAGATGGACTCAATAAATTAGGAGGTTTGGAGCACCCTCTCCTCAAACTATAAGCATTATTTTATAGCATTTATTCAGTTCTGAGCAAATTAATAAACAATTTATATAGAATTGTATAGAAATGTCGAAAATAAAAGTCGAAATGTTGAAATTAAAAGTCAACATTTTTAATTTTTTTTAAGTTGATATTATTTTAAAGTCGAATTTAAAACTCAAAATGTCGAAATTAAAAGTCAAAATGTCGAATTTAAAAGTCAAAATTTAAAGTCGACATTATTGAAATTTTGACTTTGGAAGTCGACATTATTGTAATATCGAATTTAAAACTCGAAATGTCGAAATTAAAAGTTGAAATGTCGAATTTAAAAGTCGAAATGTCGAATTTAAAAGTCGAAATGTCGAAATTAAAAATCGAAATAACAATATTTTTTTTTTTTAGTTGGCACTACTACGCTTCCGTACTGTCATCACCTTACCACCAGACCAGAATAAAATTAACTATTTTATTAATGTAGGCATGGGATGATAAAATAAAGGAAGGTAGGTATTAATAAATCAGAAAATAAAACTAGTATGTAATAGTACTGTTGTTGCGATTTTGTTGGGCGAACGCATATGTGGCGCTCATAGCGGAATTTCTCTATTATGGCGACGATAACCGAATCATAATTTTATATGGACGAGATAGCAGAGAGCAGCCCCGTGATCACAGCTGATATATAAAATATTTGTTGATATAATTAGATAAGATATAGATAAGATACAAGGTGGATATCTCGTTATAGATGGTTATAGTGCGCTGTTTGCAATAGTGTCCTGTTTTTATCAGCAGCTGACCGGGCACTGGCCGGTGCCAGCCGGCGGATGCGTTTATTTTCCACTTTGCAGCAAGATAATAATATATACTTATCTATGCTTTGCAGCCTGCAGGCGCAAATAGTAAATACCGCCGATCGGCATATTAATTATTTAATAATCTTAAACAATTTACAACTAATACTGAACATTTATTAAAATGAGTAAAAACAACAAATGTTTTGTTCCGGGTTGTGATATTGGGAATAAAAAACATAGGAAGGAACATACAGCTTTGACTCCCAATGTTAAGTATCCATCACTTTTTGCAGCTCCTAAAAATGATTTAAATATATAAATACAATAAAATACATATATTATGTAAAAGTATAATATTAAACTAACAACGTTAATCAAAATGTATAGGATTTATTTGATGAATGGAGTAAATGTATTCCTAGAGCAGACCTTTATGTCGGACTGATAGAGTGTGTGAACGGCATTTTTTACCAATTTAAAGTGACATAAGTGACACGGAGTGGTGACCAGTACAAAGTGTCATAAGTACGACATTACGTTAATATCTTAAACCAATATTCACGTCTCGGACGAAAATATAAGCCAAATAACCGATTTAATTAAGTATGTTTATAAAATTGATATAATGTTTAAAATTAAAATATCAATATCAATATCAAAAAGCTCCAATATTATTTAAGTCAAATAGAACCATTTTAGAATTAATACAACTATATCGTCGTATAGAAACATAATATATCAACATTATCAACACACTTTTTATAAATAGGTATAAGAAATAGGTATATCATATAACGTAATAGCTAGGTACTTTTACCATTTTTTAGAATTATCCTGAATGGAATGAACCCAGTGGTGTATTGGTAAATATATTTATGGTAATACACACCAATAAAATATGTATGTAACCTAAACGATCAAATTATATCATCGTATATATTATATATTATATAACGTTATTGCAGTTCAATTAGTACATAGTTTTTAACATTATTTTATTAATTTTTTAATAATGCAACAGTAGAAAATAAAACAAAATCAACTCGAATGTCAAACAAATTAATATTAATATTATTTAATTAAATTTAGATCAATATTATTTATTTAATTTAATTTTCATACACATATGCAATACTGGGCCCCACTGAGAAAACTCGTGTGGGGGCCCAGGAGTTCGAAAAATAAATTTCGTACAGAATACAGGTACAGAAAAAAAAAGATTAAAAATTACAAAATGAAATTAGCGTATGAAGCGTACAATCTATGGAATTTTCCACAAAGATTTTTTGTATTCAATATTGGGTTTACTAAATTGAACTTAGTCTTAAAATACATTAAACAGTAAACACAACGCATATTGTTATATAGGTACTTATTCAATGCCTACTTCAATAGATAAATAATTCATTAATACATAATAACGAATAACGTTTTTTTCCTATATGAACTATTAAATACATTTTAAATCTTATTTGGTTTTCTGGATATTTTAAGAGCGTTATATCCGTAAAATAAGATTTTACATTGGGTATACGCCGAAAATCGAAAATCTTCTGACGGGTATACGGCGTATACCCGCGTTCCCGTACCAATACACCATTGAAAGTACCAATCAGAATTATGATTTATCTGTACATAATATATATTAAACAAAAAATTACTTACCTAAGATGAGACAAGATTTTGTTCTATGTTCGCCTCTCAGTTCTTCATAGTATAAAATATGAACGTGAAATGACGATACAATTCAAATAATATTAGTTATATACTTATATTGTTGACAGTTGTTACTCATGATAATCAAATAATAACGGAAACACCCAGATACCCAGTACAAGAAGCTTATAAAAAAGCATGCATTTGGTTTTTAGTTTTTACGAGAATTTACTAATCGTTATCGCGGTTTAAATAATTCCGAATTTATAACTAATTCTAAGTTCTTTCTATTAGTTTATTAAAAAATATAGTAATAAAATAAATTAATAAGTAAATAATAAGTAACTTTCTAAATTAACTTTAGCTAGTCCAAAGTCTTATGTTTGAGTAAAGCTAACAACATAAAGAGAGAGTTCTGCATAACACAAATATGCAAATAAATTCATGGCACCATCATTTTCATATTTTTTTTTTAATTCTTAATATAGATTTGGAACAGTGTTGGTCAAATAATCGATAAATCAATCGATTTTATATGATTTTTTTTTAAATTTTAAACTTTTAACAAATTTTAAATATAAATAAAATCGGTTTGAAGACAAATTTCAAAAATCTGTTCCAACAGTTGTTAGCAAAAACTTCTCACGTTTAGTTTGGTACCAAAAACATGTTTCTAGTTTCCATGACCAACTGCTTTTTTTTTTATAGGCCTGCAGAGTACTGACGGCATCGGTAACAGTCAGTGGTCACCTGTGCGGCTGTGCTCAGTGTTGGGTACTAACTACTAACGTAACGCAAGTTACAAATTACTGTAACGCAATTACTTTTTCAATAACACAGTAGTAATTCCATTACATTTTATTTAAAGTAACGCAATTACTTTTTAAAAGTTATTTCTATGAAGTAACGCACTAATGCGTTATTTTTTACGTTACTTATTAAAATAATAGTTTTTAATGTATTACAAAAACAAGCCGATGAGATATTCCAGAAAAATTAAAAATCAATTTTATTTATTATTAATTTTTGATTCCGATGATAGTTAATGATATTATTAGAGATTCCATGAATTATGCTTCCATTATCAGAAAGAAGAGTTCGGCTTAAAAATAAAATTTAATTAAAATGAATTATGATTTACGACTTATGAGTAAACCACCTATCTACCTAATATATGGGTATAAACATATATGCAGGCTATTTATTTTGGCAAATTTAAAACTGACTATACCCATTTTAAAAAAAAAGTAACGTTCTTGTAACGCACTACTTTATTTATGAAAAAGTAAAGTAACGTGATAAAAATAATTTTAGGTAACGCAAATTTGTGTTACACCAAAAAGAAAAATCAATTTTTCCAAAAAAGTGCGTTGCGTAAAAATGTCAGGTTTTTCCTTGATTTTTTGTTTGTTTTTCCCGCTGCGTTTAAAATGTATTGAAAATTTTTTACTTTTGACCCCCCAAAGTACCAACTAGATTCACTTTCCTATCAGAAAAGTTGCTGGTCGAGAAAATCGGAGCACTTTTACTGCCTCAAAACGTGGTGACAGACAAAAAAGTCGCTCCGCTCAGAATCTAAAATGAGTAATTCATTAAAATGTACGATAAGTTTTTTAAGTTCAGGTGTCACTCCATCCAATATGTTAATTTAAAAATTAACCCCCCCCCCCTCAAAGTTCAGGTCTAAGTACGCCACTGTTGAGACTATAGAATATATAGATGATTAAATTTTATCACAAAATCCTGAGATTTTTCATCAGGGGGGGCTATGGAAATATTTAGTTGCGCCTATGGTTGTAATCTACCTACCTATAATGCTATAACCATTATTAAATTGAAAAAACAAATGATCACATAAAATGATATAATATTTTGATGTTTTAGATTAAACAATTAG